GTATCGATCAAGTATGATTTCCTTGATACCATCATATAAAAACAGGAACTCTGGTGCCAGATTGGTCACGCATTGGGCTTCGATCTGTAAGGCCATCAGTTTGAAACCACCAGCTGCTCCTCAGGAGAAGGATGAGACTTTCTACTCCAGCAAAGAGTTACTGTTCCGGAAACCCACAGGGCCAGTTCTACCCTGCCCTATAGGGTTACCATGAGTCAGAAATGATTCAATGACAGTGAATTTTTTGAGTTTATCATTTAATTGCCACGTAAACAGTGTAAGACTAAAAGTTAATGCTACGGGTTACATAATTAGACAGGCCCTGGGCTTAATTCCCACCCTCTCTCCTTGTTCCATATCCTTAATGTCCCCACCTGTAAGATGGGAATCGCAGTTGCAGCTAGATCCTTGGGTTGTAGGAAGCAAGCAAGGCAATGCATGTTATAATGCTCTTAGTATAAAGCTTGGTCATTGTAATTGATCAGTGCCCAATGATGGGGTGCAAAGCAAGGAAAAGAAGCAAAGGAAAAGGATCCGGTTAGCTCAGATAGACATCGGCACCTTCAGTGGTAGAAAAACTGTGTGAAATTAAGCTTCAACCCCAAAAAGATTTGTATTGACGTATCAGTGGTAAAAGTAACAAATGAGAGATATGAGGAATAGCAATAAAGGAGTTCTCTTTATAAGTGTATCTTATATCTTATCGAATCGTGAAAGTCTGAAAATATGAACATTGAGAATGAGATCAGCTCTGTCTTGAGCACGCGGGCTCTCCACAGAGAAAAAGAGAACTCCAAAGGGAACCCCGGCACCATTCAATCATGATAGTCACTTTTAATTACCAGGAAACATTCTTTTTCCTATCCTGATTATGATTTCCCCATGGCCCAAACAATCTTGTGATTTCCCAGAGAGTCTTTATAAAATTAATTACAGTGAGGATTGTGAAATGTGTTAAAGAACCAGTGCGTGTGTTTGTGAGCATCCTGGTGGTGCGACTGCCAGGCTGTGCAGACATTTGTCCTTTGTGTCGACACAGAGGGTGTCCTTTATGGGATCTCACTTAAATTTATCACCTTCATTCTGCCGGTTCATGGCCCTAGAATGGGTGGGATTTGAAGGAATCCGTCTGCGCCAAAGGCTATGAAAAAAGTGGGCCCCCCAACCCCACATAACATTATGTTGGAGCCCTGGGGCTGCTGTGGATTTGGCACTGGGCTGCTAATAGCCACACCCATGAGCTGCTTCACTAGGAAAAATGAGTTGGCTGCTCCCATAGCGATTTACGATCTCAGAAGCTCACAGGAGCAGTTCCACTCTGTCCACTAAGGTGGCTCTAAGTCAGAAGCGCTTTGATGGCCGTGGGTCACATGGCACCATGTGGCTGCCGTGTGCCACCAAGTCACTTCCTCCACTTGGCCACTCTGTGAGTAGACGTGCTCTGGGATGGCATCGTTTCAGGAGCAAACCACCAGGTCTCTTTTCCCAACAGAGGAGAGGAGCCCTGATGGCACCAGAGGTAATGAGATGGGCTGCTAGCCACCAGGTCAGCCGTTTGAAACCACCAGCCACTCTGCGGAAGAAAGATGAGGCTTTCTGTACCCATCACGAGTTCCAGTCTCCCCTGTCCTATAAGATCGCTGTAAATCGGAATCGCTCAATGGCACTGAGAGTTTGCTTCTGGTTTTTCTCCCGAGGAGCCCCTGGAGGGTTTGAACTGCTTTGAGTTCGCAGCTGAGTGCTTAACCGTTGCACCAGCAGCTGGCTCATAAATGCTTTTCATACTGAATAGCAGTAGAATAGCCAATAAAAATGTTAGTTATTTCCTGAGTACCAGGCGCTACCTGAAACAGGTTTATTGCTGATAATCTTTGCAGCAATTCTCATAGCTGCCGCTTCTATTCCCTAGTGTGCAGATGAGGAAACGGAGGCACAGGAAGTTTCACTTGGGATATAAAGCTCAAAGATAGATGGTCTGATCCAGAACATCATAATTTCTTTCTCCCACCCCCCACCAGAATGTCATAATTTTGCTAGACTGCTCCCCAGTAAGTTTGAGAAACACCATCACCCACCCCGGAAAGGCCCCAGAGCACACTGGCATATTAAAGGATTGTCCAAGTCCCACAGGCAGAGCCTCACAAAAACATTCACTTCCGGGTCACCCAGTATTTCCCAAATTTTCATTTCCCTCCGAATTGATAGAAAGATTTGGTAAGACAGGATGAGAAACATTGTGTCGAAGCATGAATAAGATCCACATGGCACGTCACTGAATCTCAGCACATTTTTGGTGTGTTGTTTTCTTTTTTTTGTTTTTAAATACTTTCATTGGGGACTCTTACATCTCTTATCACAATCCATACGTTCATCCAGTGTGTCAAGCACATTTGCACATATGCCACCATCATTTTTTTTTATTTACAAAGAATTGTTTTTTCTTTAATCATTTTATTGGGGGCTCATAAAACTCTTATCACAATCCCTACATGCATCAATTGTATAAAACACATTTGTACATTCATTACTCTAATCACTCTCAAAACATTTGCTCTCCATGTAAGTCCCTGGCATCAGATCCTCATTTTCCCCGCTCTCTCACCACTCCACCCTCCCTCATGAACCTTTGATAATTTACAAATTGTTATTTTGTCATGTCTTACACTGTCTGTTGTCTCCGTTCACCCACTTTTCTGTTGTCCGTCCCGAGGGAGGAGGTTATATGTAGATCCCTATAATTGGTTCCCCCTTTCCACCCCACATTCCCTCCACCCTCCCAGTATTGCCACTCACGCCACTGGTCATGTCACTTTCTAATCTTGTGGTTTCGCTGTGAGAATCGTGAGTTTCAATCGATCGCAATGATCGACACATAACCACACACCCCCCCTCCAGGGGGATGGACAACAGAAACCCTGGGGCGGGGACACAGAGGTCGGTGTAAAATAGGGGAATCATGAGTTTTTTATGGCTAGAATGTGAACTACTAGAATCATGTTTCAAGTTTCTCGTTTTGCAGGTAGCTTACATAGCTTAAGTTCCGTTCGTCATACGTGACGAGTTCCAGGAGTCGCAGGGACAGTCCACATGTACTGTACTGCCGCGGTGCCCAGCACTCTCTCAGATATTGTGATCTGTGAGGAGACAGTTGTGGTCATCATCCTCTTTGTCAGATGAGGAGAATTAGGCACATAGCAATTAGGTGGGTGGAAGAAGATTTGAACCTGTCTCTGTCTTCACTCTGTGCAATACAAATGAAAGAGCAGGAAACCAGACCCAAGCTGAATAATTTCCTTGAGACTAATCAACCCACTGCCATCAAGTCGATTTGGCTCATCCAAAGCCTATAGGCCAGAGTAGAACTGCCCCATTGGGTTTCCAAAGCTGTACATCTTGATGGAAACACAATACCACATCATTTTCCTGCAGAGCGGTAGATTCAGGTCTATGGCCTTTCAGTTAGCAGCGCGGTGGAACCCACTGGGCCACCGGGCCTCTATAGTAGTTCCTTACTCTTAGACTACATGTAGTTGGGAGTTGAGGAATATGTTTTGTCTCAGCAGTTGTGGTGAGACATGTATTCTAGGCATAGCATCTTCCCATGGAAACCTTGTAAAGCAGAGGTAGAAATTTGAAGAAGTTTCACAAATTCATGGAAAAATTCCTTTATCTCTTGGTTCCATTTTTCCACAAACTTCTGGAAGCCCCCTTATATGTATTCAGCAAACATTAAAGACCTACTACGAACGACGGGACTCTTGGAAATGTCTAGACTTTATGATGCACTATGAATTAAACGGGCATTTACCAGCTATTAATGTTTAATGAAGTAGAAAGAAAGACATTGAAAAAAACAAAAAAGGAAGACCTTCAACGAGATGGATTGACCCAGTGGCTGCAAGAATGGGCTCCACCCTAACAACTGAGAGGCTGGCGCAGGGCTGTGTGGGGTCTCCTTCTCGTGTCCAGGGGCTTACTCTGAGGCAGAACTGACTCCCTAGCCCCTCAAAGCAAACACTAACCACTTGTCACGGTTTCTAGATTAGAAAATGCATGTCAAGCTCCAAACAGTCAACCTACAAATAAATCATCAAAATGCAACTTACTCATAGTTTTTTGTTACCTGCCTTGCTCTTAGTGAAGAAGTGATTAGTACACAGCATCAAGCCATTACCATATGAATGATCAAATGGTAATATATGCATGTTGGTGTGCAGCCTACAGGCATGCTCATGAGTGTTTACAAGTTCTGGATCTCCAAACTTCAAGAGATTAATGAAGTTGCTTATGAATACGGTTAGTGGAGAAGGAAAGTCAATTTACATAAGAATATAATCATATTCATTACATTAGGGTGGCTGCATGATTTATACAACGTATATTTACAAACTCTGGCTCTAACTAATGCAGGTTTTAAAATTAATCTTTCATGAGTGATACTGGAGGAGATCTGCCAAGATTTCCCCGTTTCGGGTTGTGCTTCATTAAAAGCAGTGGGGGAGAAAGTGGGTGCTGTGTGTGTTCAACAAGATGTTAGGACAGGTCCTGTTTGGATAGTCACATGAGGAAATTAAGGGGACTCACTAAATGTTGCTGGTAAATTGCAGGAAATGTTAAAGAGACATTTATAACTGGCGTATCAAATCCTAGAGGATGATTCTGGTGTGGCGTGGTGCCTCGTTTCCATGGGGCTGTCATTTTTAAGTGTCAAGGGCAGAGAGAGAGACAACTCCATGGGCACAGTTTTAGCACAGCATTTTCTTGGTCAACTTCTTTATTTCATCCGTGGGGAAGAGGGTAGCAAAGATATCCATGGTCTACCTCATAGAAGGTCCTAGAATGGTTTCAGAAATTCTTAATTATTTGGCAACTCAAGTCAGAGCAATTAGAAATGGTTATGGGGGTGTGTTATTTGTCATCAGACACTAGGCCTCACACTTAGGGTGTGATACGAACTCCTGCAGGGCCTTCATTTCTGCATGCTCTGTCGCACCCTGCAGAGTCCTCAAACGCCACCCTGCTGACCAACGCGGAGAAGATCGCCACCATCACCACCACGCACACCCCGTCGCAGCTGGGCGCGCAGGACCCCAGGTCAGGCATGGCTCTGCCTCCGTTCATGTGTTTCAAGGGGCACTGTGGCTCCTGCCCCGGCCATGTTTGTCCGGGCTTTCCTCTCCGTTTCCCACAGGCTCCCTTCATCGTTCTCTTTCTCACGTTCGCAGGAGCACCACCAAACCAAAGCAGGAGTCTCAGTTTGAGTTCAAGGCTCCCCAGACAACCCAGGTGAGGGCTGCCATGCTCTTTCTTCCTTCTGATGACCTTGCCCGTTTTCTGCCAGCTTTCTGGGGCTAGTTTTGCAAGATGCATATGTTTCAAGGTACCAGCAATTAAGTCACCCTTTGTGAGGTGATTTGCCAAATAGGTACTGACTTTTACTTGTCTAGGAAATGGTATGTTACGTTAGGACCTTTGAAAAAGAATCATATCTAAGAATCATATCCAAGAATCATATCCAAGGGAAACAAAATAAACAAAATGAAACACTCTGTTGTAGGGATTGCTGATCAGAGTAAGAGCCAAGCTGCTTGCAAAATTCATATGCTGGTTTATGCCTAGAAAATGCTTTTTTGATAAGCCATTTTGTAACCTTTCCAGTGAGTCCCATATGGCTCTATGCTTGTCCTTTGGGATGGTAGTGGTTGGTGCTCGAACGATAGCAAGTGAAACAAATTTGGAAAATATTGGGTGTGGGGAAGTTAAATAAGGGTTCTTTACTCCCGGTTTTCTGAGAGCCACTAGTAGTGTATTTTCAGCCGGAAGGGGAACCCCATCCCCAGATGTCTGGATGTAACGTGTTTTCTGGTGCCATATGGATGGGCACTGAGCATTTCAGATGTGTGGGGTATAATGAAGAACTGTCCTGCCCCAAATGCCCATTTCACCCTCCTGAGAATCCCCAAGAGAGTGATAGAAACCATGACATCTTGACAACTCAGCCTAAGAGAGAATACTTGGGTAGAGGTGGAAATGGGATGTATGTGGCTATACCTTCTCCCAGCCTGATGCCATTTAATTTCTTTAAACAGGAGCAAGATTTTTACACAGTGGAGCTGGAAAGAGGAGCCAAAGGATTTGGCTTCAGTCTCCGAGGGGGCCGAGAATATAACATGGACCTCTATGTTCTGCGCTTAGCAGAGGACGGTCCTGCAGAAAGGTGTGGGAAAATGAGGGTAAGTAGGAAGCAGAGTCTGGAATAGATGCAACTAAATCATCCTCAATGACTTCTTGATGTGTGTGGCCAGAGCCTCTGTGTTCACAAGAGTTACATTTTCTATAGGTGTCAAGGTCTCTGAATGTATGACTCTCACCTTTCTGTATGTTTCTCACCTAAAGCAAGTTCATTGGAGCTGCGAACGTTAGGTAGGCCCGCCCTTCCACCTCTTTGGGGTTGAATGAAGGCTTAAACTCAGTTGTAAGCTTAGAGTTTCAGAATCCCATTTCTTTGGTACTGAAGCATAGCCCGACCTAGGCATATCACCTGGCAGGAATTCCTACGCACCCCGGCTAAACCTGTTGGCCATCAAGTCAGTTCTGACTCATGGAGCACTCTTGTGTGTGCCAATCTGTGCTCCATGGGGTTTCCAGTGTTAGATTGGGGGGAAGTAGATCTTTAAGCCTTCTTTTTAAAGCACCTCTGAGTGGAACCTCCAACCTTTTGGCTAACCACCAACTGTGTTAACCATTTGCACCACCCCAAAAGCAGGAGGGCCACATGGCTTTGTAGATGCTGTGTGAGGCGCCCCAGCCATTCTCTTGCTGCCCTATCCTACCCTAGCCGCATAGAGAGAAGGTCAACTCTAGGCCTTAGCCAAGGGCCAGTGACCCAGCGGCATGACTAGCCAAAGTGACTAGTAGTTCACAAAAAACTCACTCTGCTCTGTCTCGAGGTCTTATCCTTTGTTGCGATATGTGGCTGTTCCTCTCTTGTGGGCAGATTAAATCGTTCAGGAAAAAAATAAACCAGCTACTCATTATAGATATGTTACCTAGATTGAGACACAGGTATGGGGATCAATTAAAATAAATCACCACAGAGCAAGACAGGAAAAACAGGAATGAAATTAGGCCTGCGAGGCAAGGGGTGCGGGTGGAGGGATGATCAGAAGGGTAGCACCCAAGCGAGAGCATATGCTGCTGTCAAGTGGATTCTGGAATAGCTTAGATATTTGTATATAAGGCACAGTCTTGATTTTTACGTTTCTTCTGAATTTTTATTCTTGTTTTTCATTTAAAAAATGGGTTAGGAATGTGGTTTTGTTAATTCCACAGTGAAAAACGGTACCCAGTACAATGATTGTTTCATTGTACTGTGCAATCTATGACACGTTTTTCATTTGATCCCCACATCTCAGTGAGCATGGATATGGTCATCCGCTTGTACAAATGGAGATGTCAATTTCAGGAGCATAAAAGACTAGAGCAAGATCACATAGCTAACAAACAGTAGGACTCAAGATTCAAGGCTTTTGACGGCAAATCCCGAGCTTCCACCTTCTAGAATATAAGTTCCACGAGGACCAGGATCTGACCTGTCATGCTTACTGCTTTACCTCTAGGGCCTAGGACAGCGATTAAATGCTGCAACCTACCTATCAGCTGCCTCCTCATCTGAAGGGTCCAAGGGGGAAAGACTCACTTCGAAGCTCCTCACATGGTGGTTGGCATGGGAGTTGGCCAGAGCCTTCACTCATTTCTGTATCCTGGGCCTCCGTAGGTTAGTTCACAGCTGGGTTCTATCGGAACAGACAAGCGAGAGGGCGAAACGGCCCAAGGAAGACAGAGCCATCCTAACTTGATAGCTTCCCTTGTGAACTGACATCCCATCATGCGTTTTGCCATAGTTTAGTGTTAGAAGCAAGTCCCTGGGTCCAGGCCCAGCAAAAGAAAGCGCTCTCGCATGGCCATGATTCAAGAAATCACGGCTCTCTGGGAGCCCTCTTGGAAGCTGCTCTCTACCACATCCTCCTTCCCTCAAGAATTAATAGTCTCCTCTATAGCTTAACTCCCCCCTCCCCAGGATCTTATTACTTATTATCTACATGTCGTGTGTGTGTGTGTGTGTGTGTGTGTGTGTGTGTGTGTGAGAGAGAGAGAGAGAGAGAGAGAGAGAGTTGCCTTTCCCCCATTAGAACTCAATTCCTATGAGGGGAGGGAGTTTGTGTATAGCTTTTGACCAGCATTAGCTTATTTGGGGGAACATCATAAGATGCCGGATATACATATCCAGTGAATGGAGCCATGAATGAATTTCAAATCTTCCAGAGCCTCCCCAGTCTGGGAATCCCTTTAGTCAACTTCTCAAGTTGTTCTCTTGCACTTCTGTAGATTGGCGATGAAATTTTGGAGATCAATGGAGAGACCACCAAGAACATGAAGCATGCTCGGGCCATAGAACTGATTAAGAACGGTGGCCGAAGAGTGCGTCTGTTTCTGAAACGGGGAGACGGCTCAGTCCCGGAATATGGTGGGTCAAACTATGAAAACGTTCCTTCCTTCCCTGGCATGACTCCATGAATCTGCCTCCAGACGGGCAGCAGGAAGTTCTTTTCGGTCCCCTATTCACCAGTGTCTTACCAGCCTTTCGCACCATGTGATTATTTGCCTCGCTTGTTCTGAAACCTCTCCACATTTCATCCTTTTGCTTGCTTACATGGACTGGGGCATGGCCTAAGTCAAGATCGTTGTGGCCCCCTTTCTGATAATCAGAGAGAACATTTTGTCTAGTCCGACCAAGAGCGAAGGAATGTTTGTTTGAACTGTGCCAAACTGTTTCTCAGATCCAACCGTTAGCACAAAAAGAAAGACTTGTCCTCCTATTCAGAAGCAGGAAAGCAGGTTTCCTGAGTGATATGTTGAGGCACAATGTTTACCCCTCTTCTGGTTACTTGCTGTTGTTATTTAAGAGGCGTGCAATTTTGAGATGATGTGGGGGCTTTGATCACCTCCTATGTGCTCTGTATACAACTCTTCTCCACCCCCACGCACCCCACCCCCTGCAACTGGTCCCTTACCCCCAAATCAGACCCCCCAAGCCCACTACTATGAAACACATAGAAACAAAACAAAAACCTGTTGCTATTTAGCCATATGTTTTTCAGTGATAAAGGATGAAATAAAGAGATTCCCAGTGCTCATCATGAGGGAAACATGTTACTATACCTTTCCTATGTGGAAAGCCAGGTTATATTTCAAGTTCTGTTGCCCTATCTATAGACAAGAGTTGAGTAGATGGCAGTGATCTTTACATAGCCTAGGGTTCTGATGGGAAAATGTTGTATATTATAATAATTATGTCCTATTTATTTGAGATTCTTGTTTAAAATGGAAAAAAAAAAAAAGCAAAAAACAAACAAAAAAAAGCTATGCCCTAGATGTAGGGCTTTTTTTTCCCAACCAAAGGTCTACAAAAGTTTCTATAGAAACTGTGATGGAATGGCCCCCATATATGTTGGTCCCCTTTATTAGGGATTTATCTGTTGTCACCCTCCTCCCGGAAAGTCATCCTGCACAATTCCCAGTTGCGCTTTGGGACTCTATGGGGTGCTTCATTCAGAAGCGGCTCCAGAAGAAAGATAGCTCCTTGGAAGGGCACCTTCCTAGGGGTTGGACTTGGCACACAAGTGCAGAGTACAAGGGCTCCGAGGTGGGACAGGGGTGTCAGCCGAGGCCCCTTTACACAAGGACAACCACCAGGACAACAATTGTGTGAACCATTACGATGCCACGACTATGCATTGTACTAACCCCTTGACTGAAAGGTGGGTTGATGCCACTGGAACTGTGTGACATTGTCTCCCTTCTCTGTCCTCCCTCTGCTTCTGTTGGATGTACTATTTCATTTGAGAGTCATCGTCAGTAACCTGTGTACCTTCTCAAACACCTATGTCTGTTGCACTGAGGATGAAAATCCAACACTAACAAATGTTCTTTGGGCTAAAAGAAAAATAAAATAAAGATCATGTAATGAATCCGTGGATTTGCCAAGAAGGGTTGAACATGCCAGGGTTATCCTGCTGTCATGTTTCCATGTATCATTTGGACTTTTAAAAAAAGGGCCTCTAATTCTATTGATTAGAGTTCACAAGTGGGTTATAATATGTTAAGTTCCAATATTTTTCTGACTTGATTGGAACCTGCTTCTCTGTGAGGCTATTTTTGTAATGAGTTTTTTGTACTTAATTTAACTGCCGCGGTCGTGGGGGGAGGGAGGGAACTTTGTTCTTTCATTGTTTTATTGTTAATGCTCTCCTAATGCCAGCCTGTCATTGTTCCAGTTGTTTGAAAACAAAAAACAAAACAAAAAGGATGCATCCATTGTCTGGGTTCTCAAGTCCCCTCTGACTGTCTGAAAAACGTCACTGTTCTGAATGCGGTCTCTGCAGCCTTATCTGAGTGTTGCCTTAGACTGTCTGGACAAATAAACTCTCTTTGCCCTATGTTAACAAATGCAGATGATTATGATTTTTTTTCTTTCCTCTTTGTTATAGGGAATCTAAACGTTCAACTTTTTCTCTTTCTCTCTCTCTTTTTCTCTGACTGTTCTTGGTGCTGGGCCCTCCCTTCTACAGCGATGATACCTCCTAATATCGCTGCATGTATGAAAAATGAAAAGCTCGGGGAGGCTTGCTTCTACCTTATGGGCCATAATCAAACTACGGTTTGTAGCTCAATCAATACTAGGTGTTTCTGTGCTGTGGCCTAATTTCCTCATTGCTTCTGCTTAGCTCTATTTTGATCTGTTTGGCAATTCATTCTGAGCACCCTGCCTTCTTTGAATTGTAAGTACACCACTGACCCTGTTGAACGTCTGGCTCTCTCCCTTGCCTTAAAAGTAGATGTAAGGGACCCCCCCAAGGTTAGGCTAAAGGTAGTGGTCCAAGTAGCTTTCCTCACCCAAATCATAAAATGACTTTTCTAAGAATCTGTTTGTGCTCATTCCTGTAGTCCACCTGGAATTCAGACAGTATGACCCTCGAAGCACAGAGCTCTGGCCTAGGTTAGCAGGGCTTTGCTAGACAGGAAGACCAGATGTTCTAGTTGGTGAGAGTGCTTCTGCAAACTGCAGCTCATGGGCCAAGCCATGCATGCAGCCTGTTTATGTAAGTAAAGTGTTGTTAGCTTTACTTACTTACGCAGCTATTCCCACTTCTTTATCAGTGGTTTATGGCTGCATTCCCTTCTTTGGCAGCGTTGAGTTGTTGTGACGGGTTGTATGGCTCATGGAGGCTAAACGATGTATTATACTGCCCTTTACAGAAACAGTTTACCAACCCCCTCTCTAGGGAAAAGCCCTGCTAAGTGTAACATCACCTATGAAACAGATAATGTACCGTGGACCTTGTCAGTCATGAATGAGCTTTGAAGGGTACCCACAAATCCCACATCTCTGTCACACAGGTTCTCCCAACATGGCAACTGTCATTTCAGGGTCCTTTGCTTGGAACAATATCATGTGTGTGACTTGGTTTTAGTTGCAACAAAGAAGTCCTGATTTGAAGAGAGCTCTCATGTACTTAGGATGCCACCCAAGATATTTCTAGTGCCCTTTCAAATGGTTTAGTAATAGTAAAAAACCCCAGAGACTGCTTGCTTTCAAGGCTAGAAGTTTCTTGATGGCATACAAAGCAGTCAAGTCTTTGCATGGCTTGGAGATCCACTCTGACTGTGGGGGTATCATACGGAAAAGCACCTCCCACGATTTCTATCTGTTGCCCACCTGGATATGACAGCCCCTTCCTGTCCTCTCCCCACTTTAAAAAACTCTATTAGAAGACTCGGATTTGAAAAACAAAACAAAACAGTTCTTTATTTTTAAACTTACAAAAAAGAGAATTGCATAATTATCAATGTCTGACTAACAGCCTTTATCACTCCCTTTACTCACCCCCCTGGATGATCATGCAGGGAAATATATGAATCCTGAATTCATATGCACCCATGCATACAGATACAATACCTCCCAGGTCAAGATATAGACTATTAGACTATTCCCCTACCCCTAGGAAGTTCCCCGTGCCCCTTCAGGCCTGCAGCCTAGGTTATTTTTAAGCAAATCCAAACAAATGTTCTTTAAAGGGAAGACTTTTGTCAAACGATGGGGTGGGGAGGAAGAGGGGGGCGGGGGTAGGGGAAGAGGGCTGGTGGGTGGCTGGCATGGGTGGGCAATGAAGATCAAAACAGAGTGTGCGGTTTTGATACTCCCATATAAATGATTTGGCTTGTGTCTTTAAGACTAAAATTGTGACCAGCGCTGAGTTCGTGAATGCTTCCTGTCTTGAGTGCAGAGAGTAGATCAGGCGCTAAAAACCCCGAGTGCTAGTGCATAACCTTTGCAGTTCTTCTAATTAACCCCGATTCTGTTGGCTTTGGGTCTGGTCGCTTTAACAGCTGTTTGTTTGTTGTGACTAATGGGATCTCTCCCGTGGGATTGGTGGCCGGAGCTGAAGGTCCTTCATGCCAAACTGTGGCTCTCGTTTCTTTCCCTTGCAGACCCCAGCAGCGACCAGCACGGCGCCCCCACCGGTCCACAAGGTGTTTCGGAAATGAGAAGCGGGCCACCCGACCGCCAACAGCATCCTGCTTTGGAGTCCAGTTACCCACCCGACCTTCACAAATCATTACAACACGGGGAAAAGCGGGCCCACGCGACAGACCCAAAAGGCCCTAGAGAGCAGGGCAGCCAGCTCAATGCACACCACACGTGGAATGGAACTTCTCGCAAACCCGACACGGGGGTGTGCCGACCCAAGGACCGGGCAGCAGAGGGACGCAGAGGCACACCGCCTGAGCGGATGGTGGCCAACGGACCCAAGAGGAAGTCCCCAGAGAAGTGGAGGGAAGGCACCCGGAGTGCTGACAATACTTTGGAGAGGAGAGGGAAGCACGAGAAGAGAGGGGAGGCTTCCCCCGAGAGGAGGCGGGAGCGGTCACCCACCCGCAGAAGAGACGGGTCGCCCGGCCGGAGGAGGAGGTCTCTCGAGAGACTCTTGGACCAGAAAAGATCTCCCGAGCGGAGGAAAGCGGGGTCCCCCGAGAGGAGGGCCAAATCCACTGACCGGAGGCGAACCAAGTCTCCCGAGAGAAGGAGGGAGCGGTCCCTGGAGAAAAGGAACAGGGGGGACAAAGTCGGCCACCGGGAGAGAGAAGAGGCCAGTCTGAAGCAGGACGGCAGCCGGAGTTCCAGACACCCCCCGGAGCAGCGACGGCGACCTTACAAAGAATGTAGCACCGACCTCAGCATCTGAGACTGAGTCACCGTCCAGCCTTCACTGTGTCAAAGGTTGTGGGAGGGAGGTCCCCGACCGGAGAGACCCTGACTGACCTTCTTCCCCGATAAAGCGGCTGACACCCGAGGATCCTATGACTGGCAACACACATTTTAGGCATCTGAAATCTTGTAAGAGAAAAAAATATATGGAAAGTGTTGTGCTGATGTATAATATTAAAGAAAGTATTTTTAAATGCATACTTTTTGGGGAGATTATTTGCCAAATGTTAGCCCAAAGGGATATACATTTTGTTTCTACATAAATTGTAGACTTGTCAAGAGTTGTTACCGCCTCCCTTTTGGGGGGAGGGGGAGGGCCATCCCTCTCTCCTGAGTAAATGGGGTTATTATTAATTTTCTCTAAGTAAGGGAGATTATTGATTAAATTGAATTAATTCAATACAGAGTTCTGTAGTGACCTAGTGCTTAAACTGTAGTTAGGGGTTTTGGGTACACCAGTAGAACGGCAAAGTTATATTGGTAAAAGCTGAGGACCTTTGAGGACAGATTAGGATTGCTGACTATCATAAAATTAAGCCAACTGTTTGAAGAGACTACTGTTACAAATGAAGGATATTTATAGGAAAGCTACACAGCACAAAACAATGTTAAGTTCTTGACTTTCTGTTGGTTCAGAAAACAGATTGTACTCTCCCTGGTCCTGGAAAGGCACAGAGGCAGGGAATTGGCCGCCATTACCCAGACAGCCTAAACACAGATGGTCACTCATTGGCATCCCCGCCGAGAGATAAGATCTCCGGAAAGCAGTGCCACGAGAGTTGCGCTCAAAGACTAGAAGGGATGCCTGGCAAACACCTGTGTCGTCAGGTCTGATTTGATACCAAACATGGCCAATTCAGAGAGGCAGAAAAATCTCCAATACAGAAGGACCGCTCCTCCTGTCTGTTTAAACCACTGGTTGTCTCTTGCCAAACTGGGGCTGGGGGACTGACCCCTGGTGAAAGGAGCCTCCCTGTTGATGTTTAAAGAAGGGAGGGCTGGAGGTATTTATTCATTCTTAGAAATAGCTGATTTCCAGTTCAAACATCTCCAGGATGATTGATGGGAGAAGGGAGGAAGGATGGATGTGGTCCCAAGGATCCTAGATCTGATTGGGAAACCTCTGCCCACAGAACCCTGCCGTTTGTGTCTTTGGACAGCAGAACAAAACAGAATTTTTTTTCTTCAGTGACCCATTCTTTTGTGATCCCACCGGAGGTGTGACCGGGTCTGCTGTCGCCATGCGATGTTGTTTCAGTGGATTACTGCCTAGCTGAGCCAAAATGTTTGCTTAGACCTGTTGGGCCACTCCTGCAAACTGCTGCTTACAGCGCGTTCTAGATTTCCTTAGCACTGTTTTGCATTTTCCATAGAAACACAAAGCTTTGCAAGTCAATCACTGTTGTTCCCATGGTTCTATAAAAAAAGAGAGAAAAGAAGCCAATTATTGTACAGAGTTAAAAATTGTAATTAATAGAGCCCGTTGGAAAAACAAAGCAACTGTTGCCTTTTTTTCTTGTATAAAAGAGAATTTATGACAAAAATTTAGCTGTGAGGAATGTGGTGTGTGTTTATTGCTGAATATGGAACACATTGATTCATGGGGATAGATCTTAATGTAAACTAAATCAGGTATGTAAAGCGGTTTTACAATGGAAACTGTATCAGTCATTTTCTAAAGCTTTCGTTGGTTTGAGTATCACTTTCCCCATGGTGAGCTTGCTTGTGAATTATTAAGCACTCATGTGCATTCTCTGCTCACTCATTACTTCTTGCAGTGTGTGCTATGGACTTAATGCTCTGTCTGTGTTGATGAACAGCAGTGTGTGGGCCAATCTTTTGTAAAACACTATGCATATATAAATATTACATTGTTCATAGCTTTATTTGACTTATGGGCTCATCCATAACATTAAATTGTGTAGCTGTAGGTGTGTGGACCTTCACAAAACAAGTTCCTTTTCTGGAATAGACACAATGTACACTCTGTAGTGAAACAGGAGGGGAAAGTCTGTGGATGCTATTTTTATTATCAAATAAAGTTTCCCTTCATAATATACATTGGGCTGTGGTAGTAAGGGTGAGGGAGAATACAGCTGAACCATGATGGTCTTTTCCATCAGTTGTCTTAAGAGCCAACTTGGAGATGTTCTTCTTCAGGCTCGACTGCTAGCATGTTTTCCTGTTACTCGCCCAACCTGTGATGCGAAATGACTGATGCTTTCGATGGTGGTCCATGTTTCTCAACCAATGAAAATCAAGGTGATTTTTGTAGTACATCCCAAAGTTGACATAGCCATGTTTGGTGTTTGTTTTCTAACCTATGAGCTACCCACCTGGGCTTGTCTTAGCCAGTGAGGACTTTTGGTGTGGCCATTTCACCTGGGTTTCACACTTTAGGTTTGCTTTGGAAATACTGTACTGTACAGAGACTATGCATTAAGCAGAAAGACATCGTTTTTTCTGAACTACTGTAACCTTAAATTGGAGACTGATCTCTTGTGAGCCTACTTTCCCTGACTCCCACTTCATGTAAATGTCTTAATGAGAGATAACAGATGAATACGTTGTATGATTAAATCAAATCATTTAAGAAATCCTCTCTCCCCGTTACACAGTTGATGCCTGAAAGAATGTTAGTGGGCCGGGAGAACTTGACACCGAACTTGTATTTTTTAAGTTTCTTCTGTGAAAGATTTTTTAATGCATTTTTACTGTAAAAATACATGCAAATGTATACATTCCATAACCACGATTGCTTCTGGATTTGTAACTTGTCTCCATGATGTCTCAAATGTATCGGGGTCCAATAATCAAGGTTTTGGATTCCCAACTCAAAATGTCACACTCCTGTTGAAAAAGAAGGCGCTGGCGTTGGGCTTAGTGGTAGGACACCATTACTCTCAAGTCTAATCCAATCATAGTAAACCTGCTGTGGAGGCTGTCCAAGGCTGTAAACCTTGACAGAAGCAGGCTGCTGCACCCACGTCCCCCAGCAGGCCTTGCTGGGTTGGAACTGCTGCCCTTTTTGGTTAGCGGCTGACCTCGTCAGCCCTACACCACCAGCACTCTTTGCATTACAGAGTAAAGCACCCCCCTTCTCAAACTGTGGTCCTTGATTCAGTTGACGCAACATCACTGAGGAACTTGGTAAAAATGCAGAATCTCAGGCCCCACCCCAGAGCTACTCAGCTGGAAGGTGTTCAGCAGGATCTCCAGGTATTTTGTTTGCGTGTGAAACTCAGTATAACGTGGAATCCCAGGACTAAAAGCAAACCACCAGCCCACGAGTTTCATAACTTCTGCCTGTAATCTTGAGCTGGTTACCGACCTCTTTGACACCTCGGTTGTCTGACCTGTGAAAGGACTCACCTCAGAGAACTGGAAAGAATAAATGCAAAAGCTTAGTACATCTCAGGCACTCAGAAAAGTGGTCCATAAATGACAGACAAAGCTTCCTGTTGGGGGGCAGGGGATCTGCTCCCTGGCAGTGAGCAGTCTACTTCGTTGTCCTGTGTTATGCAATCCAAATGCAGAAAATATCTTCTCACTCCATTCAGATGGGAAGCAAGCCTTCTCTTAATTATAGAATTGACCAACGATGTGTCTCCTGCTACTTCATAAATCTAATTACACTTATCAGCATTGTGAAATATGAAACCAAAGTGCTCTGCTGTGAACATCGAGACACAAACGGTCTCAAAGCATAACGTTGGATGATCGACAATGCATGTGAGACTAGACACACTCCTAAGTCACACAGGATGGAAAATCTCACCAGTCAGTGCTGCCATATGTACTGGTGTCCATCCTGTAGTTTCCTGTGTCCCATGATGAGGTTCCCTTCACACAGTTCTGGGTTATTCTTTTAGTAGTTTCCTTTTTTTTTTAACTTTATATTGTGACTTGGTGGAAGTTTCCAGAGCAGATCATCAGTTTTACATTCCCCCATTCTTACACATTTTGTTTCATCACATTCCCTGTCATCTCCCTCCAGCTACCACTCACTGTCCACATCCCTCCTGATAAGGCTCACACTTTTTCAACAGGCGAGCTACTTATAAAATGATCAGGTCAAAATGATCTATCCACTACAAAAATGCAAAACATTTATTACATTTATTCATCAATGCATTGAGAGTTCTTTATATGTACAATGTATATTTATGTACCTTGCATAACCGCACGAGTCCATATTGCACAACACAACACAATGAACTATGTACGTTTTTTGTCATTATCTGAGTTTACTCTGATGACTTGCGCTGAATGGAATGAGCCAGGGATGCATCGTCCGGACAGTAGCTGCTGACAGCCAGCCTCAAGCACACTTCCAAATGATCATCAGTCATGGTGGAACGGTACATGGACTTAATGATCTTTATGTGGGAAAAGGCTGACTCACATAAACAAGGAGAGCCGAATAATGCGGTCAAGGAGGTAGCACATTTTCTCAGGTTTGGCTGCTTTCCCTCTGCGAGTAGGTTCCAGAACTGTTCGTGTGCTCTGGACGTCAGCTGAATGTCGGCTTGTAGTGTCAAAATCTCCATTCCGCATGAAAGCGATACATTTTTGTCTTCTTACTTGGTCCAGCTCCCCCACTCATTTTAATATCCTTTGTTTCGTTTAAGAGAAAAAAACAAGGTCTGAAAACAGCTTGTCGGTTTTGCTGTACTTACTGCAGTTGTTTGCACATGCTTTTGACACCTAAGATTGCATCTGATTGGCTACACTGTATATCATTTAAGAGAGGATTGATGATAGGCTATTTTTTTAATGCCATGTGATCTACCCACACTACATTTGCGATCAACTAGTAGATCACAATCGATATATTGAGCACCCCTGTTATAAGGGTTGAGGGTTGTCCTACAGAATCTGAGCTCCTAGACATACCAATGGATATTGTGTTTAATAGTAGACCTACCTACAGGCCACTTCTTTTGCTGTGTTTTATTTTTTTAACCAACAGGTCATCATGGACATTTCCCTAGTATGTCTTTTCTAAAAGATGGCATCAAGAAATAGTCCCATGCTCTACCCAGACTGGAAGCACTTGTAAAATATGATGTCACACATGTCCCTTGCCTGCCATAAATAGTCATTCTCGAATGTGTGGTCAGGATTTTTTTGCAGGTGGACAATCTGAGACTACCTTTGAGGGCAGTCTTCCACTAATGGGGAAAAGAAAGGCCCTTGCAAGTCTCTCTAAGTGATTTTTCCTAAAATTCAGCGGCCATCTGCTTTGTGTGTGTTCAGAACAACAAGCTTCCAGAACTTTTGAAATAAAAGTCATTACCACAAAAGTAGGCTTTTCCAGCACAATATTTTGGGGTGTTTTTGCAGGAGTGGATCTCCTATGAGAAAAATGTTGGCCACTTCCACGTTGGCTGTCTGGTAGGGCCTTGCCTGTGTATTGCAGGCACTCTCAGTGGTGGGGGTAGTGCTGCTGGAGTTCATTGGGTGATCACTGGAGCCAAAGCAACAACATTTCTGCAGTTGTATAGAGTTCAGTAAGGCTGTGCCAGCTGATCCATTTGTTATGTAATAAATGCTTAGCATTGCATTTAACAGCTATGCTTTGTCATCCCTCCCACCTTAAAAAATCTGAATTATTACCCATCAACATGTTCAACACACCTAGCAAGGCCTAGAACTCAAATGCCACCAATCAGCATTGAACTTTTATGCAACTCCATCCTCTCCCCTCTGATTTCATTGGATCATAGAGTTGAAATCAGAACACAGCTCAGAAAAGCTGCTAATTCCTTCACCTATAATAGATAAGGCTTGTTACTCAATTATTCTTTCAATACCTACTAAAGGGCAACTTCTAGGGTGGGCCTAGACATACCTGATCCCTAGTTTTAAGCACTTCGAGCTTGGCGAAGAAAACAAATCACAGAGACTAAGCAGAGGCATGGGACCCTGCCATCAAAATTAGTGGAAGCATTAACCTGGTTAAGGAGTGCTGTGCTGGTGTGGTTCCAGTGCTCAGCTGCTGGTCAGAGGTCAGTGGTTCAAACCCATCAGCCACTCTGCAGGAGAAAAATATGGAAGTTTGCTTCTGCATTATTGACTGCTCTTTTTTTTAAAAAAATAAATCATTGGGTCTCATACAACTCTTATCACAATCCATACATCCATCCATTCTGTCAAGCACATTTACATTTGTTGACATCATCATTTTCAAAACATGTTCTTTCTATTTGAGCCCTTGGTATCATCTCATTTCCCCCCACCTCCCTCATGATCCCTTGATAATTTATAAATTATTTATTTTTTTCAAGTCTTGCACTGACCGATGTCTCCCTTTACCCACTTTTCTGTTGTCCATCCCCCTGGGACATGGTTATAGGTAGATCATTGTGATTGCTTCCCCCTTTCTTCCCCCACCTCCCCCTCGGTATGGCTACTCTCAATATTGGTCCCAAGGGGTTTAGCTGTCCTGGATTCCCTGTGTTTCCATCTCCCATCAGTACCCATGTACATGCTCTGGTCTGGCCAGATTTGTATGGTAAAATTAGGGTCCTGATAGTGGGGGGAGGAAGCATTCAAGAACTAAAGGAAAACTGTATGTTTCATCAGTGCTGTACTGCGCCTGACTGGCCTGTCTCCTCCCCATGACCCTTCTGTAAGGGGATGTCCAATTGAAGACATTTTTTCCATGCTAGGAGATAATATATACTTTGTTTTTCTACACACTGTCTGTTTTTCCCTTGCTCCCTCTCCCGGGATTACTGCAGCAGTGTTCTTGCCGTTCTCCCTGACTTTCCTACACTCTTCTACAGAGATAGCTTTGTAAAAGGTCAAGTCAAAGTCTTTCCAATAAGCTATAGGGCCCTATGTGATCCAGCCTCCTATCCCACCAAACGGCTCATCTGGTGTGCTTGGTCAGCCACCAGGCCCACTCCCAGGCCTGGGACCTTGTTCTACCTAGTCCTCCCACCTGCAATCCCCTCCTCGCCAGTTATCTTGGTGATGGACTCCCTCACTGCCCGCAAGCCTTTGCTCAAATCTCCGTTCTCCATGGACACCTACCCGATCATCCGATTTAAAATTGCAACTTGACTGCCTCCTTCTAGCCTCGACTTGTTTTCCTTCCATCGATCTTACCATCGTCTCACATGCTGTATCATTTACTCACTCACCTTTTTAATTATTGAGCACCTGCCTCCTCTAGAATCAGAGTGGGGGACCTGTGCAGTCAAACAGGACACCTCTTACCACCACTACCCTGCCAGCACCACTTAGAATAGCCCCGTGTTTGGTTTAATGCTCTGCTGACACCAGCTTCAATTCCTTGAACAACGAACCCCACATTTTCATTTTGCTATATCCCACAAATTATCTAGCTAGCTTTGTCCAGAATGTCAGTTTCAAGAATTCAACCTGATGAATTCCAGATTCCTAGAACAAGAACGCAGTCTTCCGCTAGCTCTGTGTATCTCTGTATATTCTTAACTGACCACCCATGGGGACAATTGTTATCATAAAAACTAGTTGCAACGAACAACCTTATATATAAAACTTGGTACCAAGGTCTGGTTTAGTTTACATAATTTTGAAAGGATAAATCACATTACTTGTGACTCCTGGCTCTTTTTTTAAATTCTGAGGACCATGACCCTACTGGAGATGCACATGCTGTCACCGGGAGCAGCTGGTTTTAGGACAGTGCCTGCAGGCTAAGGGAGCACTCCCAGCCGAGGAGAGTTACTCAGCACTGTGCAGCCACTAGCCCTG